AACTATTATTTTACAAAAATAAAAAAAACTAAACATTTTACTGATTTGTAAGATATACCTATGTTTTGTGTAAAAGAATGTCATGTTGCGCAAAGGGAAATGTTAGGCACAATGCTACATTCTTAATTTGTGACATATTTTAAAATCTTTGCTATTTCACTCCTTATTTCACTCTGCTTCTTAGTTTTACATATGAAATTTTAAGTCTTTTGTTAACTGCGTCTTAAATAAAGGCATCGCTAGTACTCAATATTGATAGTATTCAATAATTCAATAATTGTTTGTTTCTGAACTTTGCTTTGCGTATGTCCAACAAAAAGATGTCATCATATTGCGCATTATTTATTTTCTCTTCTTCTTTTTAATTAGGTATCTACGATACCATTGTTTCATATGTTATGAATGTCTCGACAGTTATTGTTTCATAGTAAACATGCATGTTAAGATCCTCCATGGGTTTAGCTAACTCCAATAGACTTTATTAATGGAAACGGTATGTTGAACTGCATACGGTAGCATCTTTGGAAGTTCTACCTCTCGCATGATGACCTTGATATGAATATGAAATATGAAATAATAGTGCCAAAACTGCTAGCCAAGAGGAGATATTTAAGTGCAAAATGAACATAAACTAACACAAGAAGATTCCCAGAGCATTAGCACCCGTTTTATATTTTTTATGTAACAATTCTATATGTTCAATTAATGATGCATATGAAGACTATTTAAATATTTTCATTCAAAAATAACCTAATTTTATTTTTCTTTTTGTGCGAAGATGAACTGGTTCACTAGAGAGCAGCTTAGTTCACACTTGTATTATACATGTATTAAACTACATTTTAATACTATTGCAAATTTCCTTTTCCTAAGTAGACTTTTAATCTTAAATGACGTTTTGATTTGAATAATACAAAGAATAATAAAGCATCAAATACTGATGTATTTTTACATTTATATTTACAGATAATGTTCAAACAAAATAAATAAATAATTCGAAAACAGTTTAAAATATGCGCAATATGTGTAGTTAAATACAGGAATATTTATTTTATATATACAATTTATTTACTTATTAATTCTTTATAATTTCATTTCTAGATATAATAGAATGTGCATCATACATTTGTTTGTTTTTACTGGTGTTGTAGATATTAAGTATAGGTAACCAATGTACAGAAAAGTATAATTGATGTAATTGTTCACATGAAACTCTAAAGTAACACTGTTAACTGGGTTGATTAATTGTTTATCTCGGCACACAATTAAATATCATGTGCTTGATTGTTTGTTTTGCGGTAATTCTGATTAAATAAAAGTAGATTGATATAATGCTTCCCAGAACAACACAGTATCTCCACACCTTTAAATATAACACAAGTGAATCACTAAATTAATATATTAAAAACGTACAAAACGTAAAATGTAAGGTTCGACCGGATATTTGATTACGGTTTGAGTATAGACCTATTAACCGGATTTTGACGTCGAAAATACGAGCCAAACCAACACTGATTCAAAATCTATTTTTTCCTGAACAACTCTGCGCGTTCTTTAATTTTCAAATAAGCATTTCATAAACTCCGACCGAATATTCGGTTTCAATTTTGGCCGAAAATACGGATTTTGGCTTAGTTTTGATTTCGGCAAAAAACGTTTTCTTTTCATAAACATCTGGAAACGACCTTTAATTCACAGACAGCACCTTGTTCGTCCGTGTTTAAAGTACCATTTTTTGGGGCTTAATACCGGGAAAAACTGACGTTTTAAAAGTGAAAGTAGTCAAGAAAGTAGATGTCCGCGTAAAATCAAAACATTTTTAAAGTAAAAAATTTAGAATCACTGTGATTTCAAACCGAAACGAAACGAAAAAGCGATACTACGAGTACAAAGAGACAAACATATTCGTTTATAGGGTTTAGCCTGCGAGAGATGATGTCATTTAAAATTGTATTTTTACATGTAAACATTAATACAGATAAACTAAATAGAGAGTAATTCTCTGTAATTTCATCACTGGAGTATGTTTACAATGCGTCATTTAAGTTAAAAAAGCAATATAGTTTTGTATATATGCGATAACAAAATTGATCTTGATTTCATCTTTTGTAAAGGTGTCCAGTTAATACATCTGTGTAATTCTTACATCTGTATATTGTACATTTTCACTAGAGTACAATAATAAATGTAAAACAAAACAAAACGCAGTTTTCTAAGAAATGTAAGCGAGAAATAATTTCAGAGCAAATACATATGGAAACATAAAAATCCTTATCTTATAACGGTTATAAATAGGTGACATACGCGAATTGCTGTTTTGTTTACCAAGTTATCTGTTAACTTTACAGCTCCGGCGCAAAATTTGATTTAAAGCTTCTCTGATATAGTCTCCGCTTGAACGGATCCCTGATAACACCATATTATAAAGGGTTCCAATGTTTTACATTTCCAAGTTCAATTGTAAGTAAAGTAAGGCGAATGAAGTTCATAGTCAGTAGAATTTAACATTTTAACTACAAAACAATGGATCAGGTATGTTTTAAATTAAACTCGCTATTTAATCATAATTAAAATAAAAAACATTAATTTAAGGAAAAAATCGATAAATTAGTTACTGCAATACAAAGCGCGATTAATAGTTCTATCGTAACTAAATCCGATATTGAAGATTTAATTAATGCCCTCATTTCAAACCAGAATGATGTAGTTAAAACAATTTGGAATAAGTATGATAATGATTTAAAAGTGAATTTAGTTTCAAATGTATTGAAAAAACACAAAGCACAACCCAAAACCAAAATTAATGAACCAAAAGTAAAAAACGAAATTGACGAAATGGATAAGAAAGTAACTAAATTACTAAATGATATTTTATTCAACCTCAAACCTCCTGAACCTCCCGAATCACTACAGTATTTTATGGAACAGATAAACGAAATTTTAAATTATTCGGATCGTCCGATAGATAATATTTTATTCTTTCGCCTTAAAGAAGTTATATTTTATATAAATGATTTTCAAGAAACGTATAAAGATAAATTTCCATGGGGTCAATTAAAGATTTATATTCAACAATACATAAAATACTTTACATCAAATGAAAAAATGCATATGTTACAATTAACATATATATCAAAATCAAATTTAATGCAATATATTGGGTTGATTAAAAATTTTCTGGAGAATATTACATCAGGAGAAAATGAAAGCAATCCAAACTATGAAAATGTTTTGAAACATTTAGATCAGAATTATTATATTATTCGAACTATTTACATTCTTGAAAGGATGTCCAAATATTTATTTACGAAGGATGCTGGAACACTTAGTGGTTTAAGAATTTTACAAGTGGTTGGTGAAGGTTTAAAAAACACCGTCGGATCTGCAAATTTTTCATCTGATTTAAGAGAGAGAATTACTAATGAAAATGCTGTAAATGAAGCTGTTGCTGATTGGTTAACAAAACTGAACAAATCAGTTGAACAAGTGAATAATATACAAGTAGGAAGAGAATTAAGAACTACTTCACTGGATAGAACCAGTATTCTGAGAGATAAAATTTGTTATCTAATAAATGCACTAGAAATAGAAGAAGTGAAGGATTTAGTTCACAGTATTATAGAGAAACATCTAAGTATTTTAGAATATTGGGGCATAATTGGTAAAAAGAAACCAATAGGAACAGAATTAAGAACTAATTTTCTGGATAGAACCAGTAAACTTAGAGATGCAATTTGTCATCTAATAAGTGTCCCTGAACTAGAAGAAATTAAGGATTTAGTAAGCAGTATTCTAAAGAGTCTGCGAAGCATTTTATTCAATTGGGGCGTAAACGGATATAGAGACGGAATTGTTGATTCAATATGTGATCATTTAGGGAAGCTAAATGATAATGATTTGGATATGTTGGAACTGCCGTTTTGGTTTTCCAAACAACTTGTTAAAATTGATTTCAGTACATTAAAGAAGCAAATTATTTCGTATTTAGAAGATTTCGTACAAACTATCTGTGAGATGGAACCTGAACCAAGTGAAATTGAGTTAAACACTCAACTTTGGGACTTGGAGAAAATTTGTGAAAAATATGGAAAAAATGGAAAAATGCCTAAGAAGACACAACAAGGCAAAACAAGTTATGAAATTTGTATTGATATGCTGAATGAAAGTTTGAAAACTAATAATATGAAAGAAATTGAAATGTTGCTATTAATAGCATTGAATTATATAAGTGAAGTACAAAACAACTTAACTCCCAATTATAATTGGTATAAAGACGAATATAAATTTCTTACCGGAAGATCATTGAGAAATCATCTGGCTCATGGTGATGCGATAGTAGAATTGTTGAATATTAATGAAGAAGAAGCAGTCAGGAAGACTGCAGAACTTTTAATTGAACCAAATGTCAACGCCAACTATAGAGAGGAAGCTAAAATATTAACTATTGATGAAAGAAGAAACAGAACTAATATGATAATTGAAAAAATGCAGAAATGGAATAAGTTGTTTAAAATTATAGTTCAAGGCAAGTTGCTTGAAGTAATGGAAATAACTGACGAACTGGACCAAGATTGGATAAATTCAAAGAATTATACAGAGTATAATGTGCTACAATTAGCTGCACAAAATGTTACTGATGATAATTTGAAAGTATTTGAATTTATATTTGAGAAAAACCCCAAATTATTATTCGAAAATTATGAAATAGGATTTTCAATTGATGAAATTGCTTCAGTTATCGGCAACTATAATATTATTAAGCGTATTTTTGAAATTAAAATTTGTAGTTTTTTGCTAGAAAATGGATGTGTACAGAATACTTCTTCAGATACAGCATTTGAACTAAAAAAATTTGATATTAATAATATTGGACAACTAATGGCACTAGTGTCGACGAAATTGATACCAAGTGAAATCCCAAAAATAATTGGTGGGATTTATGTTATTATGGAATTTGTTGTGATAACACATTGCCAATCGAAATAATAACAAATGTATTATATTACGAATTGCTTGATACTTATCAAGATAGATGTGGTAATTCTTATTGTGATATTGCTACAAAACACAATGCTTCCAATGTGATGGAATATTTAAGCAGAATTGGCATAAATTTAAATGGTGTTAACAGCGATCAAAAAGCTTCTCCTTTTTTGAGTCATCCATTGGAAGACCCAGATATTCAGCAAATGGAACTTATCACTGATACTACTAATAAAGTTAGAAAATGCATTCAAACATTACTCGGTGAGCAGTATAAAACAGAACAAACTAAGGTGTGTGATATTATTGATACCACGAATATTAATGCTATGAAAGAGTGGAGGTTCGAAAGCAAGTTACTTGTTGTATGCTGTTTCGAGAAAAATACAAAATGCATCCATCTTGCTATTATGGAAATGGACACGGATATGACAAAGAATATGAATGACAGGTTTCCGTATTTATTAAATCCATATAATGATTATCACGCAGAAGGAGAAGAAGAAGACTCACCTCTTCATAGATGTATTTACGGTGATGGATATTTGGTAATTGAGAAAGTAGTAGATTTGGTAAGTTTTGATAAGTGTTTAATACAACATTTTCCGCGTAGATTTTATGTTTCAAAGTGTATTACGTTGTTACGACCTCCTTGGTAATGGTAGTTCATGCGAAATCCATTTTTATAACACTTTATTTTGATTTAAAATGTAGTAAACACGTTGGAACAATTTTATGCTAATAATGCACTTCAGCATTTACATTTAACTAAAATTGGTTATTTTAGATCATAAGTAATGTCTCCACACGACCTGAAAATTTCAAAGCGGCCTTTAAAACTTTGCGCGAGTGGCCAAAGCTCGATTGCATTTTGAAGAAGGCAGTACAAGCGCTGGAAAATAATACTGAGAATGTAGTACAATTTTGGGCAATGTATGTAGTGTAGTTTACTTCTTATAACATTCCTTTATGTTAATTAATTTTCAATTTTAGTTCATTGATAACAAGGTATATCTCAGAAAAATTTATTTATGAAAATGACGAAATTGTGGTAAAATTGATTGATTTAGTAATGCATGGATTGATTAACTATCTTAAGGAAAGCTAATTATTTATGAATACATAAAATTATTCATAACTATCTTTACTTGTGACGGTAGAAGAACAGAAGTATCAATCCATGATGATTAATGATATTATGTTAAATTAAAATTGCAATTTAATGTTATGATATTGCGATGAAATATATACTTGATTTATTTAAATAGTAATTAAACGTGCAACCACTAAACGAAAAGAAGCCGAAGAGTAATGTTGATCCTAAGGATATGTTAGTAGAATTGTTGATAATGACATAAAGATAATACAAGTTCTAATTCGCGGATTGATGGTTTCGATAACGAAACTAAGAACAATCTTTAAGAAGGACCCTCCTTTATCTGAGATAATCACAAACGGAGATATTACTAAATTGTATTAATGTTTTACAAACACTGTACCCAAGCCCTACAAGTCGATTTACAGATGGCAAAAGCAGTTTACACTTAGCGATGAACAGCAACACTCCAGAAATGATTCAAACAATTTATGAAAAGTTCCCACATTTAATGATGGAACGTGATGTCAATAATCAAACACCTATAGATATTGCATTTCAACAAGGAAATGATGAAGTAATTGAAACAACATTTAGACTTGTGAGGGTTTTGAATTAAGTTTCCATCAATAATCGATAAATAACTATACTATTTCAGATTATAGGTGATTATGATTCCTCGCATTCCATGCCTTTGCAAGCTGTTTTTTATGAAGCAGTCTATTATAAGTGGGCTGCAACCAGATGTGCATTAACACAATCCCTTGATGCAATACGGGATCATAGCGAAGATAACATTGTTTTGTACCTTACAATGTATGAATACTTGAAGGAAATAGTGAATATTTCCTATTGATTACTGTTTGTTGTAGGAGATTCATAAATCGACTATATTTTTAAAAAAGTTCAAGGGAAAACGAAGACGATGCTTTGAAATTAATTGGTATTGCGATTAATTTAATTATTTCGAAATTTGAGGAAAACCCTATCGTTGTGGAATGTCTTGGAATATTAGTGCAATCCTTCAACAAGTATAAAACGTGTAAAATTATGATTAAAGAAGCATTTACATCTATATCAGAAGTCGTAAGTATTCGCTATAATTAGCTTAACTCTTGGTATTACCAAGTTGGTAACAATAAAATGCAGTCACAACTTTGCTATTCAATTATGTACTTTTATTTTTGCAATCGTGTTCTTAACAACCTTTTATAATTTTCTGTCAATTTTTTGAATTACGTCACATGTTTCATTGATATATTTTTTTGTTCCTTGCTAGCGACCAGCGTCGTTATACAGAAACTACCTTCTAATAGTATTGCGAATTAATGATTTGTTTTTTAAAAGGCAATTGCTTTCAGGTTCATAATAAACCCGACGTGTCATATATCTTTGACACTCTTCTTCGTTTATTTCAAATCTTTAAATTTCATATTGATCCAAGTGGATATAAACTATTGCATAGTCATGCGTTCGACGTAATGCATTATTGTTTAGATAATACTCCTGGAGTTTCACATGATTTAAAATCTCCAATTTACGCAATGTAATGTATACTAACTGTAAATATATTGAGAAATTAGTAATAATTATATTTATTTTAGCAAATTACTTCATCGATGTCATAAATATAGCAAACTTGAATTTGACTTAGTTCAGAACACAATAGCAGTGATCCTTTCTGAAAAAAAGGACATGCTTAATTTATGTGCCGAAGTTTTTGTTTCGCTCTATATAACCAAGGAACATTTTGAGGAATTTCGAAAGGAGCAAAATACAACAAAACAAGGGAAAATCATTGAGAAAATAATAAAATCACTGTTACTAATATGCCGGCCGGAAAGGTGATGGCTACTGTTTTCGGGGATTCAAAAGGGGTAATCTACATTGACTACCTAGAAAAGGGCAAAACAATTACAGGACTATACTATGCCCAATTATTGGACCGATTCGACATGGAATTATGGAAAAATCGGCCTCATTTGCCCAGAAAAAAAGTGCTCTTCCACCATGACAACGCACCGGCCCACAGCTCCAACATCGCCACAGCCAAATTGGTCGAATTAGGCTATGAATTGCTGCCATATCCACCCTATTCGCCAGATTTGGCCCCGTGTGACTTCTTTTTATTCCCAAACTTGAAAAAATTACTCGCCGGACAAAAATTTGAGTCAAATGAGTCGCTCATTGCCGCCACGGAAGCATATTTTGCAGACCTCCCGAAAACATTTTTTTCCGACGGGTTAAAAAAGTTGAAACATCGCTGGGTCAAGTGAATCGAGCTAGAAGGAGACTATGTTGTGAAATAAAATGATAGGTTTCCAAAATTTTTGGTTTTTCTTTAAATGGCTAAATACTTATCGGACTACCCTCGTACCACCTTATTTCTCTTATCTAAATACTTACACAGCCATCTTTAGCAACTTGGCAAATACGACAAACACTTCCTCCATTTTTGTTATAGGTGCATATGCAAGGATATTTCGATAAACTAGCACTGCCTGCGCTGGTTTTCATTTCCTATAATCTCATGCCGCAAGATTGATTTCATTTCTTTAATCATGCAGCCATTCAGTTGCTCCTGGGGATGACATTGCGGTTTTAATAGGGATTTTTGCTAGACTGCAGTATTCGACGACTGATAGATTTACTTCTTCTGGATGCAAAGGAATTTCATTGTATACTAATCTTGGTTGCCCTCGTCTTCCTATCCGCTTTATCCTTGACCACCCTTTGCCTTTACTGGTTGGTGGTCATCTGTTGTTTTAAGGATTGTTTCTTACTTCTGCTGTGTTTGGTCGTTCGATTATTTGGAGTTCCTCAAAAATAATTTCAATCAAGTCATATTGATTGGGTTGATGATTCGCTTTCTTGTCTTCTCGATCTACCCAGTTTCTTCGTGGAGTTAGAGAATATATTAAAAACGTAAAACCAAATTTAAGTCAACTGCTGGGGGCTGTTGATTAAACAATGAAAAAAACTTGATAATGCGCAAAATCAAGGAATAGACACAAATTGAATTCAAATATCAAATTAGTAAGCGATTGATTTGTTTAAGAAAGATACTTGTTTAAATTATTTGAAATATATATGTAATTACTAAAAAAATAATATGCTCCCGTATCACTATTTACTAGAGACCGACCGAAATTTCGGTTTCGCTTTCGGTTTCGGCCAGTTTCGGCCAAGAATTCGAGTTTCGGCTTCAGTTTCAGTTTCGGCAAAAAATGGCCGAAACTTTCGGCCGCATCGAAACTCACTTTTCGTGAATTGTCGTGCGTCGCTCGGCTAACTTCGCGGCTAATGGCGGTCGTTACTTGCCATCTTAGTTCGCTCATATTAATACTATATTAAGTATCAAGTGACTAAACGAGAACTTTACTCCCGAAATGGTTTAAGTATCTAAAAAACGTGGAAAAACTGGCGATGTGTAGGTAAAAGTAGAAAAATATGTTTATGTAAATTAGTTTCGGTTTCGGTTTCGGTTTCGGCCGAAACTGATTGCAGGGCGGAAATTTCGGTTTCCGTTTCGGTTTCGGCTAAAATCCAGTTTCGGTCGGACTCTACTATTTACCTAAACATCTACATATTATAAAAGTGCCATCGTTGAGTAAGATGATGCGCTTGGGGTAGCACGAGCAATGCGCAATACCTTTAACATGTCGTGCTGCGTGACATACGCGATTAATTAACCGTCTATTTGCGTCGGTGACGACAAGCATCTCTATTTGCAAAAACGTGTGATAAGTTGTTAATATATACTTTGAACAATTGCAATACATGTGCTCATTTGCTTCTGACTAATTTTTATTTATATTGTTTAAGGCAATAAACTGATTTTATTTCTGGAACCTTGCTTCTACCTAATTTATTGTCATTATGCAACCCAAATCTTGGTGTTTTTGACGAAAGTTTCTTCTTTTTCAATACAAATTTGAATTATCAATAGTGATGTACGAAATGGAAATCAACGCAAATGTTTGGCAAACCTGATGTGGCTGGAGATCATTTTTTATTAGCACCTTGGTTTGAAGGCAAGATAAAACCCTGAAATATTTCCTATGATTGCTGAATCATTCAAAATTCTTTTATTTTACATTTACTTATGCTGTAAACGAGAATGTAAACATTAACCTAGATAAAATAAATTATGAGTGATTCTCGGTAATTTCATCACTGGAGTATGATTATCGTGAGTCATTTAAGTTAAGTTAACAGCAATATTGTTTTCGCATATATGGGATAACATATATTAATTAATTATTTATATCTTTAAATAGATTAATCTTTATATCATCGAAATTTGGCCATAATTTCAGTTTCGACCAAAATTGAAACAGAAACCGAAACTTCAATCACCAATTATATAAGCACAATAAAAGCACATACACATGTAAAAATAAAAATCCTTATCTAATAACGGTTATAAATAAAGATACTTAGCACTTCTATAAATACTAAAATACCGCGAATTGCAGATTTGTTTATCAAAGTCTCATTATAAAGTCTCGGCTGGAACGGATGTGGCACACAACGCACCCAGTGAAGTAACGCGAGTGAAGTTTATAATCAACTGAATTTAACATTTTATCTATAAAAAAAGGTATGTTTTAAATTAAACTTTATTTATGAAAAAAAATTGATAAAGTAGTTACTGCAATACAAATCGCAATTAGAAGTTCTATCGTAAGCAATTGGGATATTGAAGATTTAATTATGGCCATTACTTCTAACCAGAATGATGTTGATAAAACAATTTGGAATAAGTATGATAATGATTTAGAAGTGAATTATATTTCAAATCTATTATAAAAAAACACGAAGCACAATCAAAAACAAAAACAAAAGACCCAAAAGTACAAAATTAAATTGACGAAATGGATAAAAAATAATAAAATTACTAAATAGTATATTAAGTAACAAGTGGCTAAACGAGGGCATTATAAACTAGATTGAGAGCGAGCGTAGCGAGTGCTTACGCTATTTTTTTCACTTCCACACTAGTTCTAGGTTGAGGTTTTTGTATTTCAACTTTTGTATTTTAAATCATCGAAATTTGCTTGCACACTACTACAAACCGCCTGCTTTGACGTGTTTGACTGACGTCGCATGGCATTTCATACCGTCTTGTGCTGTTCCGTAGGCAAATGCGCATGCGGTTGCTCCGTCCCGTGCATAATGCAAGTACATAATGAATATTATGGACGGCTTGGCCGTCCGTATATAAAGAACCACTTTTTGTGTCTAAAAACCGCGGAAAAACTGGTGCTAGATATTTTATTGAACCTCAAACCATCTGAATCACTACCGCATAAATAAACGAAATTTTAAATTCTTTAGACCATCTGACAGATAATATTTTATTGTTTAGATAAATATTTAAAACATTATCAAAATAATGGGGGATCCAGCATTACGTCATATCAATGAGAATGAAAACCATTACATGAATATTCTGCTTCTTGGAGAGACGGGCACTGGAAAGTCAACATTCATAAATTCATTCTTCAATTATTTGCAATTTCCATCCCTAAATGATGCAATAGACGTTCCCGAGCTGACATGCTTGATCCCGGCAAAGTTTAGTATTACTACCCAGGATGGTGATACACAGGAAGTGCATTTCAAAAAAGACGATAATGAGAACGATCAATTGGGAAGCTCGTCGACCCTATGTAATAATATTCAAGTCACAAAAAAGTCAATAATGTTATATTTTAATATATTTTACAGGTACAAAATCTTATGTCTTTCCTTTTGGAACTAAAAATATCCGTATCATAGACACACCTGGAATAAACGACACACAAGGAGCAATTATTAAGGATCGCGACAATTTCCTGAATATTCTAGAGTATATTGGCCAGTTGTCAAATCTGCACGCTATTTGCTTTTTGATGAAGCCAGATGTGACTTCGATTACAGCCGCATATAAATATTGTCTCGCTGAGCTCTTATCACGATTAAATCGATCTGCTGCCGACAATATCATATTTCTATTTACACGCACGCGCAGTACTGATTATCATGCACCGGATACGATTAACTGTTTGAAGAAAGTTCTAGATGAAATTGCCAAAAAGGAAGGTGTGACTATACCACTGCGCTACAAGTCAGCTGAACATAGAAACTGCTTTTTCTTCGAGAATGAAGGATTTAAATATCTTATTGCAAAACAACAAGGTCTTCAAATGCTGAATCCGAAGCAACATGAGAAAAGTTGGGAAGTGTCATACAATTCGACCTGGGACCTTATAAAGTACATCGAGGGAGATGAAAAAAATCCACAGTTGCCACCGCATGATGTTCAACAGACTGTTTCTGTTAACCGAGCCCGTCTGTTGATCTTAGAATTGGCCAAACCATTGGCCGATCTTAGCGATCTGACGGAAGACAACGTCCGCGCAATCCAGAAGCATATTGAAAATATTGCAAGGGAAAACATTACAGCAGAAGAGCTCAAACAAAAATTGTACATACCCGCTGTAGGTTTGGATGTCAGGGATCTACAAAAACCTGTAACTGTTTGTGCTGCAGGCCAATGTACAGAGACCTATGTGGTAGGATCTCATATCACTTACCAGAAAATTTCACATATATTTACTAGTACATGAATTAAATATTGTTTCTTTTTTAAGGTGGGAGACATTAAAAAGAACCATTACAAGCAAAGATGCCACAATCCCTGTTATTTAGAAGGAGTTGCAGCGGACATAATAGGTGATGCAATATTGATGGGATGTGCAGCAATGAATGGCAACAACTGCAAGGAATGTGGATGCCATTACTCATTGCACATGCATGTCTACTATGAAACAACAACTATCGAGACAAAGATAAAAAATGAAACGGTAGTGTCAAGAATTGCTACTCAAGAGGAGATGATTAAAGTGCAATATGATCAAATTCGTTTGTTGGAAAAGCGCAAAGCTGAATACATAAACGAACACAAGGAAATTACCACAGCATTAGCAACCTTTTCATTCTTTTTGTGTAACAACTCTATATGTGTAATTAATGATGCTTATGAAGAATATTTAAATGTTTTAATTCAGAAGTAAGAACTTACTATTATATTAACATTAAGACGCACATAGCTTGTTAATTATTCTAATCAAATGATGTATTGCTTTTAGTGCGAAGAGAAGAGATTCACTAGAGAGCAGCTTAGCGGATCGGTACGAGTCACTAAAAAGAGAATACATCGAAGAGAAGCGTCAAATTTATATTAATTTTAAACCAATTATCATATAAACTGTAGCCTCTGAGCAAAGATGGAATAGTTATTAATATCATTTTTAAGTGATTAACCACACAAATATTCTTTTATATTCAATTTTATTAGTATTTCGGTTAGAGGTTCCAATTGGGTATGTGCATTGAACTGGTATAGACTGGTATTTGTAAATAAATGATTAATTGATAAGTAATAAGTTTGAGTTATAAGTTATAAGTTAAATTAAAGGAATAAAAGTAGTTAAAAATTGCCACGGCCCGGTACCAGATTTGAAAATATTATAAAAAATATATTCTACTAGCTTTAACTCGCGGCTTCGCTCGCGTGGAATCCATCAAATACATCAGGTTAGGATTATCTATGTGAAAAAATTACTACATGCAATAAAATTTTTTTATTTTATTTAAAAATATTTTTTTATCAAATAAAAAGTAGCCTATAACCATTCGGGCACCACTAAGAATATGTGTACAAATTTTCATGATGATCGGTTAAGTAGTTTTTGCGTGAAAGTGTAACAAACATCAGGACTTTCGAATTTATAATATTAGTAGGGATTTGGCACTATTCGATGTGATGCACTCGTATTTTTTAACTTTGAATTAACTTCGCACACTACCCTTACATGAAATGCAAGGTTATAAATACATAGGAGTGGGTTTGAATCTCGGCGCACGGATTTTCATATGGCCTTGAACTGCGACCAAATTTTTAGGCGCAAGTTCTACCCGTGACTAAAAGCCGTGACTAAAAAACTGCGGGCTATACGTGCCTAAAGAGCCATTTTTCGTGTTATATAACCTTAGGAAAAGTAGCATTTTGAAGATGGAAACCTTAAATTAATTATTTGAAGTAACTATTAAATTTTAAAAAAGTTCGTAATAACTATTTACACTTAGGTAATTATTTAGGTACTTATTTAAAATCTCATCATTATAATGGACGATCAAGTTTTACGTCAAATAAATGAAAATGAACACGAGTTCATAAATATTCTGCTTCTTGGAGAGACGGGCACTGGAAAGTCAACATTCATAAATTCATTTTGCAATTATTTGCAATTTTCATCCCTAAATGATGCAATAGACGTTCCCGAGCTGACATGCTTGATCCCGGCAAAGTTTAGTATCACTACCGAGGATGGTGATACACAGGAAGTGCATTTCAAAAAAGACGATAATGAGAACAATCAATTGGGAAGCTCGTCGACCTTACGTAATAATGTCCAAGTCACAAAAAAATCAATAATGTTCTATTATAATATATTTTACAGGTACTAAATCTTATGTTTTTCCTTTTGAAACAAAACTGATCCGTATCATAGACACACCCGGAATAAACGACACACAAGGAGCAATTATTAAGGATCGCGACAATTTCCTGAATATTCTTGATTATATTGGCCAGTTGTCAAATCTGCACGCTATTTGCTTTCTGATGAAGCCAGACGTGACTTCGATTACAGCCGCATATAAATATTGTCTCATTGAGCTCTTATCACGATTAAATCGATCTGCTGCCAACAATATCATATTTCTCTTCACACGCACGCGCAGTACTGACTATCGTGCACCGGAAACGATTAACTGTTTGAAGAGGGTTCTAGACGAAATTGCCAAAAAGGAAGGTGTGACTATACCATTGCGCTACAAGTCAGCTGAACATAGAAACTGCTTTTTCTTTGAGAACGAAGGATTTAAATATCTTATTGCAAAACAACAGGGTCTTCAAATGTTGAATCCGAGACAACATAAGGAAAGTTGGGAAGTCTCATACAATTCGACCAGGGACCTTATAAATTACATTGTGGGAGATGAAAAACATCCACCGTTGCCACCGCATGATGTTCAACAGACTGTTTCGGTTAACCGAGCCCGTCTGTTGATCTTAGAATTGGCCAAACCATTGGCCGATCTAACGGAAGACAACGTCCGCGCAATCCAGAAGCATATTGAAAATATTGCAAGGGAAAACATGACAGCAGAAGAGCTCAAACAAATATTGTACATACCCTGTGTAGGTTTGGATGTCGAGAACCTTGAAAAGCCTGTAACTGTTTGTGCTGCAGGCCAATGTACAGAGACCTATGTGGTAGGATCTCATATCACTTACCAGAAAATCTCACATAGACTTACGAGTACATGAATTAAATATTGTTTCTTTTTTTAAGGTGGGAGACATTAAAAAATACCACTACAAGCAAAGATGCCACAACCCCTGTTTTTTAAGAGGAGTTGCAGCGGACATAATTGGTGATGCAAAATTGCTGAGATGTGCAGCAATGATTGGCAACAACTGCAAGAAATGTGGATGCCATTACTCATTGCACATGCATGTCTACTATGAAACCACAACTATCCAAACACGTATAAAAAATGAAACGGTAGTGTCAAGAATTGCTACTCAAGAGGAGATGATTAAAACGCAATATGATCAAATTCGTTTGTTGGAAAAGCGCAAAGCTGAATACATAAACGAACACAAGGAAATTACCACAGCATTAGCAAAATTTTCATTCTTTTTGAGTAACAACTCTATATGTGTAATTAATGATGCGTATGAAGAATATTTAAATGTTTTAATTCAGAAGTAAGAACTTACTATTATACTACGCATTAAGACGCACATAGCTTGTTAATTATTGTAATCAAATTATGTATTGCTTTTAGTGCGAAGAGAAGAGATTCACTAGAGAGCAGCTTAGTGGATCGGTACCAGTCACTAAAAAGAGAATACATCGAAGAGAAGCGTCAAATTACCGAAGCAGCCAGATTGGCGAAAAAACAGAATATAACACACGTCACCTCGGATCAGATTTTAGAAACCTACTTACGCTTGATTAATTTGCCACTGTCGGGTGAAACAATTAAGATACTCCATAAAATATTCAAGCAGGGCAGTCATAACGAACAGATGATGAATACGGAATATGTACACTCCAAAATATTTAAAACACCAGTTTCGCCTGCTCAAAAAGTAAATTCTAGGAACGAAGGGCAAGATACAAGAAATATCACACTACTACCGATTGAATATGCCAGTGGTACCAAATCATACAATGAAAATCAACTTGTTCCGATGGGAGCTATAAGAAAAGAATTATGTCAAATAGCGTATACCGGTGGCGAGACATCATCAGATAATACCGAAAACGCTAGAAGTGAAATAAGTTTTAGTGATATGCAACAGTACATTGCCGAGCGACGAGGGCAAGTGCAAGCGCAGAGTCTTGGAACAAAATTGATTGTCGATGTCGTAAAAGATAAGCCACCAAAAGATGGATCCACAGCAGGGTGGTTTAGTAAGGTCAGTCATCTCATGCCTGGAAGCTCCACCAAGAAAACCGATAAAACTGAAACTAAAAATAATCTTTAAATTTTATATAACATATGATGATTGATATTTGAACACAAATGTGTTTTCAATGGGCCTACTTACTGTTACTAACACTTTGTGTTATTTTTAAATGCGTTGATTTGCTGTGTTCACTAAATAGTCTTGGGAATATTATTGAACTGATATTCAAAAGTAATTATCCACATTATGCATTTTGCAATCGTAAACAAAGTATATATTCTTATATAATTAATTAAATAACTTTACATTTTATACTCAACTATTAGTCTCCTCTTTGTGCGATGCTTCGTAGCATAGACGTGTGTATGTGTGTACGTGTGGGTTGAAATTGACCGGTTGATGTTCTTGTTTGGAAAAGGTTACTAGGATACTTTTTGACGTAAAAACTCCTTTAGAGAACACTAAACGACACTAAAAGGAAACAAACATATTCGCTTATATGGTTTAGCCTACGGGAGAAAAAGAGCACACAAATATAATGTTTTTTATCTCCGTCTCCCCTTTGTGCACTTCGTAGCTTCCCCCTAAGCATAGACGTGCGATTCGTAGCGTCCCCTAAGCATAGACGTGTGTATGTGTGTACGTGTGGGTTGAAGTTGCCCGGTTGATGTGTTTGTTTGAATAGGACGTACTAAGTGTAGGATACTTTTTTTTAATACTTTTTGAAGTGAAAACTTTTTTGGAAGATACTAAACGAGTTTTCTCCGTCTCTTCTTTGTGCGATGCTTCGTAGCTTCCCATCCAGCGACCAAAACGATCAAATCTTATCCGACAAAACCGTAATGCAACTAGGATTCGAAGGATTGCGAATGAAAGGACTGAAGAAGAACAAGAAATTGCACGTGAAAAGCGAGGCGGAACAAAGTTTGCCGGGTCAGCTAGTATTATATATATTATCTATATATATAAAATTTGCGTGTCACAGTGTTTGTTTCCATACTCCTCCGAAACGGCTTTACCGATTTTTACCAAATATTATATGCGTATTCAGTAGGTCTGAGAATCGGCTAACATCTATTTTTCATACCCCTAAGTGATAAGGGTTGTTCACCCTTAACTTTTTTAAATTTTGGACAAATTCTTTTGTTTTTATTTTTTTATAATGTGGAATTAAAAATACATACAACCGGATTCGCCAAATTTTTATATATGATTTTCCAACATTTGAATTCGTTCTAGACGCTCAAACAGAACACAATTGATTGGTAATATAATATTTTAAATCCAGAAAAGGCAGGATAATAATCTATCTTTATCTATATATACAAAAGAAAGTCGTGTTGGTTAACTCCTTTATAACTAAAGAACGGCTAATCCAATTTAGCTAAAAATTGGTGGAGAGGTAGCTTAGGGCCAGGAGAAGGTAATAGGATACTTTTTGAAGTGAAAACTTTTCTAAAAGGGCACTAAACGACACTAAAAAGAGACAAACATATTTGCGTATATGGATTATCTTGCGGGAGAATAAGAGAACGCAAATACAAAGTTTTCTATTATCCCCGTCTCCTCTTTGTGCGATGCTTCGTAGCATAGACGTGTGTATGTGTGTACGTGTGGGTTGAAATTGACCGGTTGATGTTTTTGTTTGGAGAACGTTACTAGGATACTTTTGAAGTGAAAACTTTTTTAGAGAACACTAAACGACACTAAAAGGAAACAAACATATTCGCTTATATGGTTTAGCCTACGGGAGAAAAAGAGCACACTAATAACGTCTCCTCTTTGTGCGATTTGTAGCGTCCCCCTAAGCATAGACGTGCGTGTGTGTGTACGTGTTGGTTGAAGTTGCCCGGTTGATGTGTTTGTTTGAATAGGACATGGTAAGTGTAGGACACTTTTTTTAATACTTTTTGAAGTGAAAACTTCTTTGGAAGATACTAAACGAGTTTTCTCCGTCTCTTCTTTGTGCGATGCTTCGTAGCTTCCCCACTCAACATGCAGCGACCAAAACGATCAAATCTTATCCGACAAAACCGTAATGCAACTAGGATTCTAAGGATTGCGAATGAAAGGACTGAAGAAGAACAAGAAATTGCACGTGAAAAGCGAGGCGGAACAAAGTTTGCCGGGTCAGCTAGTAAGTTAATAAAAATGACATTTTTAAATTAAATACGTTTTATTATTGTATCGCCTACATCATCATCCATGTATCCTCCGCCATTATGTCATCTCAAACAAATCGCGCTCAATGCGCGACCAATCCAAATATAATTAAACACGTTTAGTCATCGCTGGTTTACGCTGGTTCACGTTTTGAGACTTAAATATGAGAATGTTTACATTGGTGGTGGTTGTGGTGGTGATAGTGGAAGATAAAGGTTCTGAGAAGAAAAATAACCGACTAGACGCCATTCTGTTTGTCATCAGAGCTCATTTGTTTCTCTTTGTTTGTAGTTTACGTGTGTATTAAATATTCAAATATCGCCAACATAACTCAATCAACATCGATCATAATTTAACTTTGCAAATAAACAATCAATGTAATATATATTCATATTTTAGTATTTTGTTTGTATGTTTGTTGTGTGTAGGTGTTTAGTCATCAAATGTCCTCGTATAATCTAATCAGCTAAACATATATGTACATACATTGAAACAGGTTTATGCTGGAGATTAGTTTTTTTCTTCTCTTTAAACAACATTTACTCGAGAGAGAGAGAAAGAGAATGGGTTCTTACACGAAATACACACACATGCTGCCTCTATCGCAACCGGCACGCCATCTATGTACAACAAGCGTCCAACGCCGGCGCGAGTATAAACTCTGTCAAACGTCAAAACTCAACGAGATATGAATGCGCGCGTGCGTCATCGCATGTCGCACCGGAAGTGGCAAAAATAACACGAGGATATGTCGGCGCTCGTATAATATCGTGTGCGTGTGTGGTGGATGTGCAAAAATAGAACTTTTGAGGGGGTAGGTGGCGCTCGCACTCGAGCGCCACTGATACGTGCCGCGTCCCTGTGTAACAGCATAAACGAACCTAACCTAACCTAACTTCAAGCGCATCATGTTGTCTTTTGTATTTCCTCAGCTCACCTCATCAGCCCCGTCTCCGTTCGCATTCTGATAATATGAATTCATGAATTATAACATTATCTAAAAATACTATACAATCTTTTATAATAAAGCGTAAATTCAATTAATAAATCTGTACCATTTTGGTTTCTTGGTTGTTTTCTTGTTTTTGTTTTTACCATTATTATTTATGTTCTTTTGTTAATATTAATAATTACTTTTTACATCTTATGTGTGTGTATGGTTGCCGCAATGCTAGGCGCTAACAATCATGGCTGTCGGTATACATCCGGCGACCATCTTGTGTCTTTCGCCTCGATCAACATTATAAATAACAACTTCATCTGCTTTTTTTTGTATTTTTTCATTTTATCGCATCGCATGTTTTGTCTCTTCCACTTAGATGCTAAACATTTATTTATAATTACTGCCTATACGTATGTGTTTTCTTGTTTATTTTGTTGGTTTGCTTGGTTGGTATATATAATATATTTGTGATTATTCCGCGACGAGACACACTACGATTTGTTGTTATCACAAAAAATACTGATTAAGCACATTGTCACCTAATGATTTTGATCCGGCCATTACCGGAAATAAACATCTTTTGTTTTTGCGTGTTTGTTATCACGAAAAATACTGATATTAACATTCATTTCAATATAATCTTCATTTTGCTTACAACTAAACTAAGTTTCCTGTTTTGTTGGTTTGTCTGCTTAGAAACTATTTTGTTAACACTTTTGTTTACAGTAACAAATCAACATCATCAGCACGTAGGTGTGTGGGTAAGGGTAGGGGCGTAAAACGTTTAATATAATTCGTCAAAACATTTAAGGCGTTCGAGGGTCGTTCGCTTTGTATTTTTTTAAATCTCTGTTTTGTTCGCATAACCTGAAAAAGCGATCGACAGTTCGCCATCTGTTCGGGTTCCTCATTTTAATACGTAATGCATATGTAAGGTCACACATCTAACCTAACTCGTCGATATTAATTAACCGTTAATGATTTACGTTTAATCACTTAAATCCTACGCCTTTCGTCTGCATCTTTATGTATATTTAAATATTTCTTTATTTTTTGTTTTGTTTTAATCTTTTCGCTAAAAACTACGGCGATCACGTCAGTCTAATGTTTTATTAATCTTTTTTTTTTTTTTTGGTTATGTTTTCAAATGTTGTTTGGTATTCATGTATGTGTGTGGTTGTGTTCAAATGTTGTTTACAACAATAACTATCGCAGTGCGCGCACGCGCACCAGAAAATCAACCCATGACAATTCTTTGTTGGCACATTTATCGTTCGCATTTGGTTTCGTGTGCTTCCGGTATGAACGTCAACAACAACAACTTAGCCTTGTGTGTGGTTCATGTTTAATGTATCTGTGTGCATAAAGTTGTGTTTTGTTTCATTTATTTTGTCGATTGAAAAGAGCTGTCGAAGAAATGTGCGCGCGTTTTACGTGCATATTTATACGCGGCCGCAGTGTATGCCGGCCATCTTGATCCACGCGCCATTTTACTCCGGCTTTAGCCGGTGCCACTGGACGATCGTCTGGCGCGGTTTGGTGATCATATCCTGCCAGTGCTTTGTTTCCGACGCGCCTGAACCGTTTTTACCTAAAATTGATATAAATTAATGTAACGCCATCTATAAAAGAATAGTTCATGTACATACCAGCCAAAAGAATGCGTCCGATTAGCTCGTTACGGCCAATGTTGTCAAAGTCCATCACCATCACGTCCAGCGAGCATTCGCGGATTTTCTCCCATGGTACATTAAATGAAAATGTGTCGTTGAAGACTGGATTAAGAGTGCATTTAAAGATGGCGGTCTTGCGCTTCTCTATCCGCTTGTCACCAAACTGCAGCCATACCTTTACATATGGATCTAAAATTTAAAGGAAAAATAATATTAGTATTTGGATATAATTGAGGTTATTTTCGTTTACCTGATTTTCCATTAATGTCCTTTGCTTTGAGGTTACGTGCCTTGAGCAGGGTGAGCGTTAGAATGCTGTTACTCGGATGGTAGCATAACGAGGTGAGCAATTCGCCACATTTATCTTTTGCTGGTGGCTTCAACGCTTTCCAAAACCCTGGCTTCTCACTCAAATCAACCTGCAAATATCAACGCCATTATATTGTCTTCTAATATACCCGTAATTTTGTTGTTTGCACAGATGTATACCAACAGCTGCCAGCAATGCGGCAACCATACATACATATAAAATGCATGAAGTAAAAAAGGACTGAGAAGAGTTAGAAATTTCAAATGTAAAATAATACGCTTTAAAAGTTAGGTTAGATTTGGTTAAAATAAACTAACCTGACAAAGTGGTAGGAAAACTTCGCCGATGGAGTCATCGCGCGAGAAACGATCATAGTCAAAGACATGTAAATGAAGCACACGTGACTGCAACTTCTGGATGGGGAAACCCTCGAAGTAGAAGGTCTCGTTCCAGCGAGGGTTCAACGTACGCCGCTTGATCTTTGTCTCGAGTCGGTGCTTCTTGTCCGGCAGTAGCGTAACGCGCACGTACGGATCACTCGTGCCGGACAAATCTTTCGCCGGGAGTTCTTTACCCTAAAAATAACAATAAATTTAAACAAAACGCAAATACACAAAATATATATAGATTTTACCTGTATGATCCGTAGGATGAGAGTCGTATTCTGGAAGTCGTACTCGAGCGAGAAGTGAATCTGGCCGACGTTCTCCGACGGCTCGGTGTTGTCGATGTACATGTCCACCAGCGAGATGCTGCGGTTCTGGAGGAACGCCATCTGGAACACAACGGCGGCGCGGCCGAGGGGAAGAGGGAGGGGCCCGAGAGCCCGCCCGCGACCAACAAGAATGTTCGAGATTTAGTGCGGGTGACTTTTTGCTCGGCGACACCTTCCTTTACAACAAGAACAACAACCAACAGCGCACAACGACAGACGACACACCGTAGGGGTTGGTTGGCGGGTACATCTAAACACCTAGCTGGAGGCAGAAGATACATTGAGCGAAGAAACGCGCCGCGTTCACTTTTTAACGCAAGAAAAAATCATTAAGTCACGCGTCGCAGGAGGGGTTAATTGTTATCGGACGTCAATTTAACCCTGAATTAAATTAGCGTTGATTAAAAATCCCGATCTAATTAATCCAAGTAATAGTATGCTAATTTTATTTTTCATTACACACTGAATCATCGATTGCGCATGCGCGGTAGCGCATACATCTAAGCAGATAAAGAGAGAAGGAAGATAGACGCTTCACAAAGAGTGCACGCACACACGGAGTACACAAGTAGAGTTGAAGATGAAAACAGACAACATATGGGCTAATAGTGGATGAGGAAGAGGAGTTGGGTCTTGAAGCTGTTGTCTTACCGACGGATGCTCGCCGCCTTTGACATTCTGCAGCTGCTTGTTGGCGGGCGCCGTGGGCGTGCGCGCTTCCGGCGGCAGCGCGCCGGCGCTGCTTCCGGCCGGCGACTTTGCCTGTGGGCTGCCGGTGGTTCTGAAAATGTAATTTAGTTTTAAATTGAGATGTGTGACATTTTATAATGGTACTCACTCTAGTTGTGCTCTGTTGATGTGTTGGTGGAACGTAGGCAACAATGTTGACATGAAACAAAACAAAACAAACAGACATAATATTAGTTTGATTAAATCACGAATATTCACAACAATTAGGTAGGTATATAAAAATGTACTTAAAATATAAATATTAAATGTTATTGTTTACAAATGAATCATATTCATAGCAAATTATTCGCGAATTTAATTGATATAAATTATTACTTTCGAAATAATTTATTATGGATCATTTATGACGTATTAATAATAGTCAAATTTGATAATTTATATCAAAGGCTTTCAAAAGGAGAAAATATTTTTACCGCATTAAAACGTTAGTTTTTCCACGGTTTTAAGACACAGAAGGAGTACTTTTATCACGAACCATCAAGACCGTGACTAAAGTATTTTATGCATCTGCATTTATAACATTACATTTTCTAGTAGTGTACAAACGAAGTTTGAAGTTTTAAAACACAAAAGTTCAACTACAAAAACCTTAACGTGGAAATAGAGTGAAAGTAGAAAAACCAGCATTAGCATCACGTGGCTAAACGTTGTTAAACACTCGATTCATTAAACGCTCACTACGCTTGCTCTTAATCAATTTTATGCCCTAAAATTCCGTTTAACCTACTTGATGCTTTATACTCGTATACTATTATGCTCCTCTATAATTTCTAATGTAAAAATAAATATTAATTTATTTGCAATCACGCCCGCACAGACCTTAAAATAAAACACACTTGTTGTTTTGTCAAAACAAATGAACTCTTTACATCACGTTTGTCACATTTCATACGCACTCGCTTTTCATGCTACTCCGCACGGAAAATATACGTTTTCGTGTAACTAATTCAACATTTTCGCCCGCGTCCGGCCAGCCTCAACTTCATCGCGCATTGTCGGCGGCGCTTGTTTTTTGTTCGCGCTCGCATTTTTTACCATTCGGGGCGGCGGTGGTTTTTTGTTACGTCCGGGGGCGAGACTTTTCACGCTCCAGTTTGTTGCATCACGCGCATAAATCAAGGGCGCTCCTTGGGCGGCGCTTTTTCTTTTTCTGTTTTTCCGGCTGAAAACACCGTCGTTTCGTTTGTGTGCTCGTGTGCGCACGGCCGATGGCTGGAAATTCATTGGATTTTCACACCTCGTCACGCGTCACTCACGCTCGTTTCCAAACGATTTTCTCGCTACACGAAATTTTCCTACTTTTAACTCTAAAAATATTTCGACAATGTTCACATAGAGTCCTTTAGACGCACATGATTGTGTTTTACTGCAGTAAAAATATAACAATAAATATATATAAATAAAGCATTTGCCCGCGATTTTGTTCCGGTAGTGTTTAATAAAAATGTAATTCGTTTTAACTCTTTTGTACTAGACACATACTAGTCAATTCTATCCATAATAATCGCAATTTTATAAAAAAATAGTTATATAAAGAATTGCTAATAATGCACTTCAGCGCGCCATCTCGGATTCAACTATTAAAGTATATCTATGATTGAGTCTCAATGCTAACTTTTAACATATTGAAGGGTTTTCCCGACAATTATTTAAATTGTTCTCGCCGTAAAAACCATCCTTGGACTTCAACAAACATTTAAAAAAATAATTGGCCAAATTGGTCCAGGCGTTGTTGAGTTATGCGCTTACTAACAGATTTTTCAATTCATTTTTATGTTATAGATTGACGTTTGTTAGTGTTTTGACAATCTTTCTAAAAATCCAAGGAAAATTTAAAAAAATGTAAAAATATTAAGAAATTATCAGTGCAAAAATTTAATAAACTACTTCTTTATACTTCCGATTATCTGTTAATAGCTTTAGATTAAAAAAAAACAAGTTTAATTTATTGTCTCATCTTGACCTGTCCGTTTAAATGAGAACAATATTAAACATCAAACAGGTTGTTCGGCAATACGATGACTTTTAGCTAAAGGACATCAAGGACACCGACAATAACTGGAAAACTGTCGTCGTGCAACCGTCACGCTGTGCTGACGCGCAATCTTCTCCTGATTCAAGTCGCATTCATTTTCTTCCTTTCGTTTTGCACAGTTTCGCACAGTTTCATTTGTTACATTCGTTAGAGCAGCGTTAACAAAACGTAATTGCCATGTTTTAATGGTTGCAGATGTTCCGGTGGTGTGTTGGTGATGCTCAGCGTTGAAATACATTGTTAGACTTTGATGAAAATATTAATAGTTCGTGGATATTGTTATGGAAACAACTAAGATCTATTCATGGATTTAAATAAATGACTGGACGATTGTTTGTTTTACTAAAACGTCGGAGTGGTTTGACATATTTTTGGTTTTGAAATATTTGTTAAAACAGTGAAAATACAAGAAAAATAATAAAAGCAATTTTATTTTTCCATACAAACTATAATAAAATAAAAATGAAAATAGATATAGTAAATATTTCATTATTTTAATTTTAAGTTAAAAATCTTCATAAAAAATAATAAATCGCAATTCATCAAATATTTCACTCAAACCACATCCCACGCCATTTTAGATTTGGGTTCTCAGTGCGCTCATTAAAACCGTTTGCCAAAGATGCATGCACGTCGTATCTCCATCTCGGCGTTGAATAATTAACGCGATAATTCAACGTCTCTGACGCATTCATAACGTCGTTCCCTTTACCACCCGTGAAACTCATCCAAGCGCATCTCTTTCATCCACCTTCTTTCGCTCTACATCCTCTTGCGTTTCCTTTTTTTTTCATGTGGTCCTTTTTTGGTTTTTATCTTGGTACGAATGTCGATTAAATGCACGTTTCGCCCGGCGGCGCCGCGCCCGTTAATCGTATGTCGTTAATTAAACCCGCGATTCGCAGTTATTGCGCCGGGAAGAGCGAAAAGAAAAATGCCGTCGGGAAAATCGATGAGGAAAGCGAACGTGGTACAAAAGCTGCGCGAAATGGCAACGACACTGTGCGAAAGTTAAGCAAATTGCGTGTCAGAGTTTAATTAATTTTTATTTGAGAACTATGCGAGAAAATTAAATGCAGTTTATACGCATTGTGAAACAAGTTGATCATGTGTAAATTTAGTTTTTATTTGGCCTCAAATCTTTCTCTGTTTTATTATTAAAAAAATTAATAAATAAGCGCGGTTTGATGCAGTATTAACCACAATGGAAAAACGAGTACTTTGGGTTGCATACCCTAACAATTTGCTTTTAAAGCAACATTTCCTACAATAATACCTATAAAATAAAAATTAAATCTAAGCAATTATAATATTTAAAAAATATTATTATTAAACCATAGTTTCACAAAAATTTGCAAAATTTTCCAAAATGAATTTTTTTTTTAAATTTGGTCAAAAAAGAACTATTCTGTATTTATCAAGCGCTTAACACTGCTTTTCATAATCGAGTTAACGAGCCAATCAATTCGTTTGTGCATTTGGACCTTTGCCAAACAAAGATTCTTACTTTTCCACCTGAAAAACAAGCCATAACTTTGAAATTACAAAAGAAAACTAGCCAAGAACGACCACAAAATTAAGCTTGAAATGGAAAACAATAACAACTTAGCCTTCAAGTCTTCCTTCCAAAACAAAAACTTTTCCGCATTGAGCGAATGGTTTCTTCCGGCTCATCGCGGAAACTTACCTGAAACAAACAAAAACAAAACCATCAGTTAAAATGCATCTTCAGTGGAAAATGCGAGTATAAATTAAGAACGCTGCCAAATGTACGCATTGTATAACATTTTCCACGGCGGTTTACGACGCAAAACATATTTTTCCAATTTCTCATGCGCGCGTCCTTGATCATTCAAAAACATGTATAGCAGTGAAATAGTGACATTGAAAACTCTGCGCATTGAAACGTCGAAACATTTCGCAAAGTCCTCGCGCGGGATGAGAAAAAAGTTGAAAGCGCACGGTGGCAACGATAGGGGATGAAAGAAGTTTATAATTACTCGTTTGTGTCGCATAAAAGCGGCGATGGAAAGCGGCCGGAAGCGAGGCTTTCAGCCATTGCGCCATTCCGGACGGCGAAAGTTGCTGAGCTTTTTTCGCCGTTTGTTAAACGCGGTTTCTTTCTTTCTATTTATAGGGATGAAGGAAGATGAAGGAGAGGAAACGGAAGCTTTAAAAAGGATGCTACAAAATTTTCAGTTGGATAGAAAAAAGATTATCAATAAAGGATTATGGAGTAAGCCGCAGGAAATGATAACGATGGATTTGTCAGATTATTATTATTTATCATAAATTGTATCAAGATTGATATATCAGATAAAATATAAAGTACCAAAACATATTTTGCTTCATGAATATTTTGTTAAAAAAAATACTTCTGCCATGAAGTTAATTTAATTTTTTTTAAACAGAAAGTAACGGTTTACATATTATCAGATAGTTAAGAAGGCATGAAATTGCGTAACACGTAATTAAAAAACTCGATACTAATTAAACAAAAATTAATATAAGGTAAAACAATTTTTGAAAACATAGAATAAATTAACCTAAAATACCTATAATATAAAAATGAATCGCAAAATCTGTTAGTAAGCGCATAACTCAACAACGCCTACACCAATTTGGCCAATTCTTTTTTAAAATGTTTGTTAAAGTCCAAGGATGGTTTTTACGACCAGAAAAATTCGAATAATTGCCAGGAAAACCCTAAAGACAGCTCTTTTCTATAGGATAAAAGTTGGCATTGAGATTCAATCATAGTTAAATAGTTGAATCAGAGATGGCGCGCTGAAGTGCATTATATATTTTTTTATATAATTAATTTCTTTAAAATAAAATTGCAAATCTTATTGATAGAATTAACACATACTATGTCTAGAACAAGAGAATATAAACAAATTACATTTTTATTAAACACTACCGTCACGAAGTCGCGGGCAAAAGTTAGTATAAGCTACTTTTTGCCGCAAAAATATAACTTATAAGGGTGTTAAATCAGAGATTTAAGAGATGTTTTAGTTACGCCGTTTATAACTCAAGAAGTAATGCACAGATTTTGATCATTTTTATATTTTTGGATTTG